ATGAAATTTAGTCATAGCAAATAGGGGCACAAAAAACAGGGAGTTCTCCCTAGGCCATAAAAGATCCAGGCAAAATGCTTCTTGAGTATTTTGGAACAGTGAATTCCAAGACCCTGAGCTGTGTGGAAGGTTTCAGAAGAGGTAAAGCTTGAAAGACACGAGCCTGGAAAATAGGCTTCCTGATTGATTGATTGATTGATTGATTGATTGATTGATTGATTGTGGTTAGTTTAAGCTGGCCTTAAACTAACTCGCTATTATGTAGCTGAGGCTGGCCTTGAACTAACTCACTATTATGTAGCTGAGGCTGGCCTTGAACTGTGTACCCTTCTGCAAACCATACCCACCTGACGTCAGCAGCCATGGCCATGTGTTATGGGACACGTTTGGGCAGTAACCATCAGCTGGTTTGTGTGTTGTGCTGCTCTCTTGAGAATGTAGAGTGTATTTCAGTGGAGGCGGGCAGGGGAGAGCTGTGCAGCAGCTGGAGTAGATCTGGCTCAGCTCAGATGTGAGTGGGGAGAGGAGCAGGTCACTTCTGGGAAATGGGCTGAGCCAGCCAGGGTTGGGGGCTATGATGGAGCCAGGAGTGACTGGCTGGTCAGAGCCAAGGGCAAGGAAGAGAACTCAAGGCCTTAGGCCTGTACTTCCCCTAACACTCCCTTTGCCCAACTGTAGAGCTGGGGGACCTTCCTCTGGTCCGCCTGGATTTCTCCTGTAACCGTGTCTCCCGAATTCCGGTCTCCTTCTGCCGCCTCAGACACCTGCAGGTCATTCTGCTGGATAGCAACCCCCTGCAGAGTCCACCTGCCCAGGTAAGGTGCAGCATGGATGGAGCTTGAGGATAGTGGTGCTGGTAGGTATTGTGGGAGGGTCCAATAAGGCTTGGGGAGTCAATCACCTCATTCTTATACATGTGCCCCTCGCACAGATCTGTCTGAAGGGGAAACTTCATATCTTCAAGTACTTAACAATGGAGGCTGGACGGCGGGGAGCTGCCCTTGGGGACCTGGTCCCTTCCCGTCCCCCAAGTTTTAGTCCTTGGTAAGGTCCTTGGTAAGGGGAAGGAATCTTTGTGGGACCAGAGACCACCCCTGGATTCCAGTGGGAGGGTGGGGGAGCTGCCAGCATGGAGCTGATCAGGTCTCCTTGGCTGTTCAGCCCTGCTGAAGATTTATTTCCTGGACGTCGATATGATGGCGGGCTGGACTCAGGCTTCCATAGCGTTGACAGTGGCAGCAAGAGGTGGTCAGGAAACGAGGTAAGGACCTCCTTTGTAAGGACATTTGGGGGTGTCATCAGTGGATCTGAAATCATGGCTGGGACCCCTCCTCCCTACTGTTGCCAGGAGGCTGGCTGGCTCTCCACCTGACCCCAGTCTCAGACTTCTCAGGCCTGAACCCATGTGGTTCTCAGCCCTGCAGAGAAGCCCATGTCCCATCTCTGCCTCTCTGCCTCAAAGTCCACAGATGATTTTTCAGAGCTGTCGTTCCGGATCTCAGAGCTGGCCCGGGAGCCCCGGGAGCCCCGGGGACCCAGACAACAGAGGGAAGATGGCTCTGGTAAGCAAGGGAGTGTGCCCAGGAGAGTGAGGGCTGGGGTGGGCCTGGAAGCCCCTCCTGCTTTTGCTCACTGTAGTGCCCCGGCCTGCAGGCGATGGGGACCTGGAGCAGGTCGACTTTATTGACAGCCACGTTCCTGGGGAAGATGAAGAGCGGAGTGCAGCTGAGGTGAGGACCCAGGTATGTCCCTGTCCAGGTGAAGGGGAAGTCGGTGCAACCTGGGGGACCAGGCCCGTCCAGCCTCTGCGGTTCTCTCCCCAGGAGCAGCTGCCTTCTGAATTAAGCCTTGTAGCAGGGGACGTGGAGAGGGCATGGAGCAGCAGGTATTCCGATCCCCAAGCCCACACCGCTGCCCCATACTCATCAGCCCTGCCGACCTCCCTTTCACTGAGACTGACCTCTCGCCCTATCTTGTGGCAGGCGGGAGGAGCCCGCAGGGGAGGAGAGGCGGCGCCCAGACTCTTTGCAGTTGTGGCAGGAGCGGGAGCGCAGGCAGCAGCAGCAACAGCAGCAGCAGAGTGGGGGGTGGGGATCCCCCAGGAGGGACAGGTAAGGCCTGAGCCAGGATGGCTGCTGGATAGCTGACAGATGCAAACGCTTCCCGTCCAGCTTATTCCTCGTCTGCTTTTTCTAGTGTCCGGAAGCGGGGAATCAGAGCCATGGGTGCCTCAGCCTCATCCACACAGGCCACCTCCAAGTAGGTGTCCTCCTGAGATTCACCTCCCTACGCCTTCCTCGTGGCCTTCTCTGAGTCCTTTCTTTCCCTTCAGTGGCCCACCAAAGTCCAGTGCTACCCAGCTGGGAGTTTCAGGGGGCCAGGGAGCTCCCACACCGTCCCCCGTCTCCCAGGAGTCCATTCCTGTATCTGGACCAGGTAGGACAGCATTTTAGACGGTGACTTGGGGGTACTTGGGACATAGAGGCCTGAAGGAAGAGTGGGCTACTGAGGGGATGTCTCTTTTGCCTGTCCTTGGCTTTCCCCCCAGTGACAGCTCCTGTCCCCAGGCCGCTGGGCTCCATTCAGAGACCAAACAGCTTCCTCTTCCGTTCATCTTCTCAGAGTGGCTCGGGTGAGTCTGCCCTTTCAGCACTCACCTCCTGTGTTGTGGGGTTGTGTGTCTCGGGGTGTTGTCCCTTTGTTTGTTTGATCTGTGCTGGTGTCTTGCCTGTATATACTCTGTGTGAGGGTGTCGAATCCCCTGGAACTGGAGTTACTGACGGCTATGAGCTGCCATATGGGTGCTGGGAATTGAACTGGGGTCCTCTGGAAGACCAACCAGTGCTCTTAACCTCTGAGCCATCTCCCCAGCCCCAGGGTGTTGTCCCTTTTTGTGGAAAATCTCACAGGCAGGAGGTGGAATTGGTATGAGACTGTTGGAAGCTGGCTCCGAAGTTTATGGGTGAAGCAGAGCTATCCCCACCCCCTTCCTCTTAGGCCCTTCCTCTCCAGAGTCTATTTTGAGATCTCGGCCATCCCCTCAGATTCTAGACGAGAAGGAACTAATGTCCCAACTTCGACAGGTGAGCAGAGTGATATCTGTGTAGGCAGGGGGCCCAGTGTGGTGCCTCCTCCTCTGCCTTTGTCCCCTCGGGACCCACACAGCCCTCAGCTCCTCTTTCTTGGCCTGGGACTGTCACGAAGGAGGGGAAGGGGTGGAGTGAGTTCCCTGCAGACCCCATCTCCCTCTGTCTCTGTTTCCAGGTCCTTGAGTCACGGCTGCAGCAGCCCCTGCCTGAGGACCTGACAGAGGCTCTGGCCAATGGGGTCATCCTCTGCCAGTTGGCCAATCAGCTGCGGCCCCGCTCTATACCCTTCATTCATGTGCCCTCACCTGCTGTGGTCAGTGCAAGCCGGAGGAGGAGGAGCGGGTGGGGCAGGTGTGTGGCTTTGCCTTTGCAAACCCTCTTCCATTCCCCCACCTCCAGCCAAAGCTCAGTGCCCTCAAGTCTCGGAAGAATGTAGAGAGTTTCTTAGAAGCCTGCCGAAAAATGGGTGTACCTGAGGTATGGGGCTGCTCCCTGCCCCAGGGGATGTTGGTGTGTAGGGCTCAGCTGGACACCGTGCATGGGGGGGGTGGAGTTCCCTCCACAGGGTACCTACGTGTACAGGATGCATGTGTCCTGGGCCCACGCCTCACAGCTCCTGCTCTCCCTCCTGTCCCCCTGTCCTGCATGTCTGCTTGTTGCTATGGCTTTGGCTGTAGTCCTGGTTTGTGAGGGCAAGGGTGGGGAGGTCTGTGGCTTGATGCTTCTAACATCTGTCATTTGTCCTTGCCCATCTGCCCTGCCCTCCCTTCCCAGGCTGACATGTGCTCGCCCTCGGATCTCCTCCGGGGCACCACCCAGGGGCTGCGGACCATACTGGAGGCTGTGATCCTGGTGGGGGCCAAGGCCCCTCTCCCAGCCCAGCCCTCCTCTGGTCTGGGTGGCTTCCTCCTCTTCTACGTGGCCTCCATGCTGCTGCTCTATGTCGTCTACACTCGGCTCCTGGGCTCCTAGGACCCACGCTGCCCTTCCTTCCCTATCTTCTATTTATAAGTCCTGTTCAACCATGTCCCTACCGGTGGTGCCTTCAGCCCCTACCAAAGACACTAGCGTACCCTCACAGACACTGACCTCAGAAGCCCGCTCTAGTGACCACAGTAGTCCTTTACTCCTCTCTCTAGTGCTGACGGTGCCTTCCTGTCCTCTCACTAGCCCTCGGCCCCCACAGGGATGACAGACCGGGGCTCTTTCCCGGCTGGCCCCCCCTCCCCCTCCTGGCTGCTATGGGGGAGCTAAATTATCTCTATTTTGTAGAGAGAGAACTCTATATTTGTAGGGGATGTGGGCCCATTATGGGCCCCTGGTTCTGTGTATAAACTGTATAGACTTGTCACTTCTGTGTGCGCTTGTGTGAAGCTCCTGCTGCAGCCAGGCTTTGTCCTGCCTGGCCCCGTGTATGCCAGCCTGCCTGTACAAGCATTTCCCTTCGGAAATGTCAGGCCTCTCCTGCCCCTGAGCCTTCTGTGTTACCACCCTTCTGTCATCTGCTGACAGCTTCCATGTGTCATTGGCCCCCAGGCATGGGGCCCCGTGTCTACCAGGAGCACGTCCCCACTCCCCCAACCCCTCCAACCTTGCTTGGGGAATGCCAGGGGAAAACTTAACCTGGGCCCCTCCCCCCAGGAGTCCCTGTGCCAGCCCCACCACATCCTGGAAGAGGAGGGAGCCCCTGGGAGGGGCCTCCCTCACATCGCTGCTGTCCTTCACGCCCTTCTGGAACAACCTTAGGGGTAGAGGTTAGGGCTCTTGGCCCCAGCCACCACCGGACCTGTCCTGGGAACAGATGACACCTGGGCCCTGCCAGTTAGCAAGAACTTGGTGACCACGGCCCTGTGGGTACCACTGGGCTTGGGTACCTTTAGGCTGCTTTGGTTGCTGCCCCCGGTCTGGGTGAAGTGTTGTGTCAACACAATAAAGAAAAGCCCAAAGGCCTGTAGGTTGGCCCTCAGCTGTGTGCCTGTCTGTGAGTGCGCGAGCTTCTTGGAGACCTGGGTCTTGTACTGTGGGTGCCAGGGTAATAATCAGTGATGTTTCTGTGCTGGGTAGAGGGGTGGAAGGGCACAAGTGCCCCATGGCTCTGCCGCCAGGGGGAGCCCTTGAGAACCTGGCGGGAGCGCGCCACGTGCCTGTAGAAACTGGCGCAGGCGTCGTGGCGACACCTGAGGGAGGCTAAGACTTGGGCGCCTCGCCCATGTAGTCAGGGCCACACGCGGGCACAGTGGTGGGTATTGCCTGGCGCTCCACCACACACAGAATGCTGCCCTGGCTTGGACCGTGGGGCACAGGCCAGGAGGAGGCAACCGAGGAGGCAGGCCGTGACCACGGCCGGGGCTGGAGCTCCGCACAGGAAACCATGCAAGAGCCAGGGACGCCCGTGCAGGACAGGTGAGGGCTTGGTGGGCCGCTAGGAGGCGTTGTGGGCACTTTCGGAGGTCCGTAATGGGAAATGGGCTGCGGGTCCGGCGACTGACTCAAGCCCGCATTGGGAAGGGAAGTGTGTGGAAGAGCATGTCCTTCCCTCCACACAGTCCACAGCCCCAGGCCCTCAGCCCACCCGAGACCGGAAGAAAGCTGCCGCCGCCCTCCAATCACCTGGCTCCTGAGCGGACTGCGGAAGCCCCAGGTAGGCACCACATCTTGCTGTGTTTACCCACAAGGCCCCAGAGATTCAGAGCCTGTTCTAATCTTGTCTCTTTTCTTCGTAGAACCCCTTCCTCCCCAGATGACTTCCCAGGTCACCCCCTCAAGGATGACCCCGCTGCCACTTCGGGACCCCAGCTACAAGGCTAATGCAAGACCTCAGCTGGTGGTGAGTTTGGGGATCCATGACTCTCTCCGGGTAGCAGAGGTGCCATAAGAGAGACAGAGCTCAGTCACTTCCTGTTCCCCACAGGGGGCCAGCTGTGCATCAGGCGGACAAGCATCATTGTCCGGCAGGACACTGTGTCATCCTTCCTGGCCTATGTACGATGCCTGGGGCAGCATCCCTACCTCGGGGCATCCAGAAGAAGCCCAAGTGTCCAAGGATACAGGTACTTCTCTGGCCCCTCAGCTCAGTTGGGATGTTTCTGGGGAAGCTGCAGTGAGGGCTAGGATAGGAGGCCGAGGCCACCACGCTAGCAGGCTCTCCTCCTCAGGGCTCCCAGTGACAAGCTGTGAAGATGTCTTTCTCCTGGACCCTCTGCTACCCTGTGGGCAGCGTGTCCCCCTATACCTGTCCAAGCCCCCTCAGCAGGTAAGGGAGAGCCTCCCTCCATTCTTCCCTTTCTCCTCCATGTGAGGCCTGAGAGGACAACCTTCCCTTCCTGTTTTCTCAGGCAATGGGTGCTCGGAAGCTGCTGCTGCCACCTCCCATCATGTCCTCCTCTGTGTGTGCCTCCTCATCGCAGGCCTGCTCCTCCACCTGGCTCACCGAGGCAGAGGTGACCGCCCTGACTGGCCTGCTGCAGATGAGCCAGGGCGAGCTGAGGGCTAACTCAAGCCCTCTGACCGCTATCAGCTGCTCAGACCCTGGCTCTGCCTCTGAAGACCCAGGCCCCAGTGGTGGCCAGAGCTGCTCTGGAAGCACTGACCCATGTCCCACACAGACCCCAGATACCCACCACCCGTAGTGCCCTCCCTTGGCGAGTACCGGCTTCTCCCCCAAGCTGTTTGATTGACAATAAATCACAGTTAGTTTGCAAACCAGGCTCGGTGTGGCCGTGACACAGCAGGGCGTGGGATTGGGAAGGCAGGTTGGGTTCCTTCATACCACTACACTCCTTCAAGTCTCCCTACTCACTGGTCACTCACTACCCAGGTGGGGAAATCCACTGAGCCAAGACAGTCCGGGTGCAGACCACCTTTAATGGGTGGGTTGGGTCCACAGTACTCAACTGGTCAGCTCAGCCAGGCCAGGAGAAGGGTCAGGTGAGCCTGACTGGTACCAGAGGAGGACTCAGGAGGCTTGGGGAGGGGGCACTACCATGGTCCCTGATGCTCCCATCATTTTTGAGCTGGGGCCCTTGGAGTTCCTCTCAGGCTTGCAAAAGTTAGGTGAGGATAGGTTTTGGGCTCAGGGGACACAGTGACATTTAGCTTGCAAATATGTGAGGGGACAGAGCTGTCCAAATTGGAGTGGTGATCTTCACCCATGGTGTGGCCACAGCTACTGAGACCGGATCTGTAGGAAGTGCTCAGATAAGATCAGGGTCTCAGCTGAGAAGGCCCCAGACTTGTAAGGTTTGGGGGCTTTCTGTTCGGTTGGTTGGTTTTTTGGGTTGGGACAAAGAGATTCTAGAACTTTCTTTCTTTAAAAGAGCCTCATTTCTTGGGAGAACTTGTTCCCGAGGGTTCTTAGGTGGCGCATAGTTGGAAGTGACAGTGGACAAGGGGAACATGGTGACCTCAGAGTCCCTTGCTCCCCTGTGCAAGAGCCAAGACGTACACTAGTAACTTTTCCCTTTTCCTCTCTCCCTTGACCAATGCCTGGGTCTCCTCCCCTGACTATCTCCCCAAAAGTTCTAGAACTTGATGCTGGCGTAGCTGTGTGGACTGTCCCCAGAGGCTGCTCCAGTCACCTTCAGGGGAGGGACTAGGTCCAGGTCCACATAGTTGAGGCAGCTGTCCAGGGACCCTGGCTTAGCACTGTCCATTCCTACATAGTCTGGGATGTACATGTAGTCCCCAGAGAGTTCTGAAAGTTGGGAAGAGCAGGGCTGAGCCTCTGTGGGTCCCCATCTGCCCCTAATGCTGCAGGGGGAACCCTGATGCCCAAGTTCAGGCTCCCTGGCCTTGAGCTCGTAGTAAAAAGGCCCTGGTAAAAATCTATTCATGGGCACGTACTCTGTGCCCTCACAATCCTGAAGTGACTTGTCAGGATTTACCCTAACAGGGGTGGGAGGAAGGCTTGGGGGTGCCATCCACATGTAGTCGCCAGCCTCTCCTCCCATGTGCATGTAGTCATCCTTGACTCCCATGGTGATATAGTCCCCGCCCAGATCTAGCCCCTTGTAGGAGGGTATGGGCCCCATCCTTTCCAAGGCCTTGTAGTCTTGCTTTGCTCTCTCACCCGGGTGTCTTGGTTGCATTACAGATGCAGGGGTTTCGTATGATGTCGGGGCAGGGGCTGCGGGAGCACTCTTTGGGGGATCTCCAGATGGTGGCTCAGGCCGGCCACTGGTTGCACTGCTCCCCAACCTCTTCATGGCAGCCAGGACGGTCTCATGAATGCTCTGGGCCACCACTGCATCAGGTGCCTGCATCCACAGCTCTCCAGGACCTGTGGGCGCTGAGCGCCCGAGTTCCAGGAAGAAGAAGGAGTCTGCATGGCCGCAGCGACGCACGCTGAGCAAGGACAGGCGCAGGGCCGGTGGGGGCGATGCCCGGCTGTCTTTGGAGCCTTTGCTTCCTGGCTTCCGCAGAAGGCTCAGAGCCCCAGAACCCAGGCACAGGCGATAGCTGCCGCTGCCCAGGCCTCGTACCCGCCCCAGCCCCTTGGACCGCAGTGTCACAGGCCAGACGTCCTGGAACGGGGCGAAGATCCAAGACTCGGGGGCCTCTTGGGGACTGAGACCTGGAGAGAATGGGCAAGTCACTAGGAGGCAGGGGTTGGGGTCACCGTGTCCCAGGAAACCAAAACGTGAAAGTTTAAGATTTGAACCTTTGATGATCTGGGGGAGAAGGGTTCTGGATAAGCTAAGTCGGCAACCCCCTGCCCTCCCTGTCTCCCAGGGCTCACCCATAGCCGTGGCGGCAGCTGCAGCGGCTGAGGCGCGCACCTCCAGCAGGGCGCTGTACCATTCTTGCTGCTCAGCTTCGCTGGCTGCCGCTACGCCCAGGCTGCTGTCGCTGGTGTAGACGATAATCAGGTGGCGCTGGCGGGCATCCGCGCGCTTGCTGATAGTGCAGGCACCCTCTAGGCTCACACTGCGCCGGGGTCGAGGTGGGCGGCAGCCGCTGGCGAGGAACTTCTTCTCATTCTCATAGCACTCCAGGCGCGGAGGGTCAGCACGCAGAACGAAAAAGCGGCGGCGCTGGGACTTCTGCTTCCGCAGGTGGCCACAGAGCCGCACGTCGGATGGGCAGGGCCAGGGAAACGGCGGGCCAAGGGACACATCCGTGGACTCCGGCCCGGGGGAGACTGTGGCACCCGCACCTGCCGGCTTCATCTCCAGTCAAGTGCCCTCAGAAAGACTGATTTGGATAGGTCTGGTCCCCTGAGCCACCACCAGCTTGGGAAGAGTAACAGAAACCTGGGAGATGACAACCGGTCTAGCTACCCTGCATCTCCCCACGCCCTCTCCCGATCTGAAGTTATCAAGGAACCTGTACACAAGCGTGCCTGCGCATTCCAGTGGCCGGCGACACGAGGACTCCTAGATCTAAGGAAGGCTGACCCAGCTGAGGTCGACCTAGCTGGGTCAGCCTCCCGGTTGGAATCTCCACCCCTTCAAGTTAACCCTCCCACGCCTGAGTGCAGGAATTTGAGTTTGGGACTCATAGGCTAGAGTAGGAGTCCTGCCTGCTGGAACCAAACTTTCACAGAAGGCGGGGAGGGTGGGGGGCGTCTCCACCAATCAGCTGGTTGGATATGGGGGTGGAGGAGTATCACCAGGGGCAGCCTGGGGCAATCCCCAAAGCCAGAGAGCCAGGATGCATGCAGTAGCTGCTGGGACTAGTGATTAAGAGAGTGGCTTAGCGGGCCATTCTGACAGCAGCAGCTCCCCAGGCAGGCACCACTCCGCCTAGCTTCTCCCTCTCCTTCCCCACCCAGAGATTTTTGTGCCTTTGCTGCTCCGGAGTAATTCAGGGACCATAGCTGCTGAACACTATGCAAACGCCCTAACTGAGGTTCCTCAATGAGTTTGGGGCGATGGATGTCCCAGAATAGAGAAATTAGTAGAAATTAGTAGATTGGTCCCAGGTCACGAACCGCACCCACCAGATGCCCATGCATTCAAGTGGCCACTGAAAGATGCGTGAAAGAAGAGGTGTCGTCTCTCAGGGACACCTTCAAAGTGCTCCTCATCATCAAGTCCAAAAGCTGACCAGAGCCTGATGGTGGCTGTGGTCACAGAAGCCGGGTGGTAGATGCCTGGTGACATTTGCATCCTGAGAGGTTTGGGTGGGATCAGACTTTGCATCCTGAGAGGTTTGGGCGGGATCAGAGACCAGACTGCATATTCTCGAGGTTTCTCTGTAGCTTTGGAGCCTGTCCTGGAACTAGCTCTGTAGACCAGGCTGGCCTTGAATTCACAGAAATCTGCCTGCCTCTGCCTCTGGAGTACTGGGTTTAAAGGTGTGCACCAACACTACCCAGCCAGACTGCACATGCATACACACACCATGAGTGCACACGCTTGTGCAGGCCAGAGGACTGACGACCTCTGATATCAATCCTCAAGAGACATCTCCCTTGTTTTTGAGATAGACTCACTGGCTTGGAACGTGACTAATAGATTAGGCTAGCTCACCAGGAGGCCCCAGGGACCTGCCTGACTCCACTTACCCTGCACTGAGAGTGGCATGCTGCCACTCCAAGCCTTTAAAATAATTATGTGTGTTATGCATGTTGCCTGCATGTGTAGGTCAGAGGACAACTTTTGGAAGTTGATTCTTGCCTTCAATTTTGTTGAGGCAAAGTCTCTTTCTGTGACTGTGATGTGTGCTCCAGGCATGCTGACCTGAGTGCTTCAAGGCTAGTTAGTGGTAGCCCTGGCTGTCCTGGAACTCTATAGAGCAGGCTGGCCTCTGCTACTGAGTGCTGGGATTAAAGGCCAGCACCACCACAGCCTGGCTGGTGACTAGTCCTCTATCTTGCTGGGATTATGGACTAGGATTATGACACATGCCATGAATCCCACTCTTTGTGTATTCTGAAGATTAAATGGAACAGCAAGCACTTTACCAACTAGCTATCTCCCCGACCCCTTGTATATTTTGTTTTCCTACATTAGGACCACTGGTACAGATCAAGGCACTGGTACAGATCAAGGGGTAGGGAGTGTCACGGGGCATTCTGTCAGACAAAGCTTAGATGATGAGGACTGGGCCTTGGCAGACATGGTGATTCCCGAGTGCTGTGACAATCAATCCCAGACTGTGGGGGAAAGCTGAAGGTCCAGAGAAGGTCAAGCCATGGGATCCTCAGGTAAGGGTAAGGGACCCATCTAGCAAGCAAGGGAACTTGGGTCTTTTTCACAGGCTCAAGGACAGCTCAAGCAGAGGCCCATGGCCCATTTGTAATCTGGAATACCAGAGAAATGACATTCAGTGATCGTGAGCTGGGTATCTTTGAAGCCCTGTGAATAAAATACTTGTGCAAGTTTGAGGCTTGAGCTGGGTCCTCAGGATGTATAGAAAGCTACACATGGTACTGCACAACTGTAACCTCAGAGCCCCCACACGAGATGGAGAGAGGAGACAGAAGGATCCCAGTAGCTCTCCAGCCTGTTCGCCTGGAGTATACAGTGGCAAACAGAACTCCATCCCAAGGAAATAGTCCCACTCCCTCAGGATTGATTTGAAGCTATCCAGGAAGGGTCTCTTCCTATCTTCTTCCTGCCTTCCTGTACTTTGTCATCTTGCAAACATCTGTCCTTGTGACATCTGCTGTCACACAGCCCCAAACACTCTGTGTCACTCAGCCCTGGAGTGCTGGGTAAAAGAGAGCAGGAAGCAACAGCCATCCAAGGATCTGCGGCGTGGACTAGCAAGAGTAAGATATAAGCAGTGTCAGGTGCTTGGTCTGCTGGGGACCAGGGAAAGCCTGGTGTGCCTCAATTGCTATAGCAACAACAGGGCTCTTGGCCCTCCTTAACCCCAGCAACCCAGGAAGTGGCATATTTGAGGCTCTGCTAGGCTGGGGGCACATCGCATCTATGGAAGAATTTCGTTAGCAGGGGTAGGAATCTATTTAGTAGAGCCTGTGTCAGGTCCCTGTGAAGGCTCATCCTCTGTGTGTGGGGGCATTCAGGACAGAACTATATAATGAACTCTCTCAAGCATCCCACCCTTTAGCTCTCGTGTGGAGAACATTCTAGAGGGTTGGCTTCTGCCGACAGAGCTTTCTACCCACACAGGCTGCCCATGGGTGACTGGCTGACAGATGGACCCAAGTCAGAAGGCTGTCTACCTGCATGATATTGCTAGAGCACTGGCTTGGGCCCGAACGGAGAGGACCTGAACGGGGTGTATAAGTCAAATGCATTGTTTCAGACTGTGTGCATTTGTGTACGTGTGAGAGTGCATGTGCGTGTATGAGTATGCACATCTGTCTAGATTTACAGCAGCCAGGTGAAGGCCAGGTGGAGGAGGGTGTTGGGCTCTTCTTCGCCAAGGACAGCGGCTTATCCTGTGCTCAGGCAATGTCTGAGGTTAGCCCTGGGCAGATTCTTAGCCTAGTCATCCAGCCCTGGCCAGAAGATGGGCCGGGGTCCATGTCAGACATGACAGGATGGGAAGGGTGGTGGCTAGGAGGTCCTGGGTCCAGGCAGCAACAGGAAAGTCCCTGGCACAGTGTGGCTTACACAAAGGGCAAAAGTGCCTCGCTGTAGGGCCCTTTAAAACTGAAGTGATCTGAGCCAGAGCGAGGGAAGCTGGGTAAAATATGCCTGGGACTGTGGATGCCCTCACTCCTGGCTGACAGCAGAATGAGGGGAAAGGGAAGCACCAGAAACAGAGATGTGGCTCTTTGGGGAGTGTGCTTGCCCGCCATGCATGAAGCCTGGGCCTGATCACCAGCACCTCAGAGAACCATGGTAGCGCTTCATTAATTTGGTCATACTTGGTTACACAGTGAATCTGAGGCCAGCCCAGGCTACACAGCCAGTTCCAGGCAAGTCAGACCTACATAGGGCTCAAAAACAGCAGCAGCAAAAAGCAGGCAGGACAGAGGAAACCTTAGTGTTTGGAGGCTGAGACAGCAGGATTAAGAGTCTGAGGGTAGCCTGAGCTACACTGACTTGGTGGTGGTGGGGGGAACAGTGACACTAAGGATGACCAAAACAAACAAACAAAAAAAAAACAAAACAACAAAAAAAAAAATTCAGAAGGGAAACAGAAAAAATGGAAAAATCTGGTACAAAGGCTAGGGGCCAGCTGGGTGCTCTCCCTCCTCCCCCCTTCCCAGAAAAGTAGGAAACAGTGAGGGACTGAATCTTCTTGTAAAGAGGGAAGGCTAGGTCTGGCTTAGCAAATAGTTAAGAGCTAGAAATCTTTCCAGAAAACTCTATAAAGCAAAGAAACTGATAACCTAATTCCCCCATCCCTTTGCTGGTCCCTGTGGAAGGCCCAGAGAAATCCTAAGAATGAATAGTCTAAAGGGCTAGGAACTCTTGGCTGAGGTCTGAAAGGCGGGGCCTCTCCAGGCCTGCTGGGGTAAACGGCAAGGCCAAGGCCCAGGTCTCTTCTCAAGGGGACAGAGGAGGATTTATCCCAGGCACAAACAGCCCAAACACCTGGCTGCTGACACAACAGCCCCAGGTGAGGACCTGCAGACAGCAGCGCTGAGAACTCTGGTGGCGGCGGGGTCCTGTTTACTTACCAAATCCCTGCGGCACCTGTGTCCCTGCCTGCCCCATGACACTAGCTCCAGCTCCAGATTGGGGGCCCTCACTGTCCCTTCCTCTTGCTAACAGAGGGTACACAGTTCAGCCTTTGGCAGAGGTCACATGTTTATCAGCCCAGACAGTGCAGATCGGAAGAGCCAAGTCAAGGATCAGTGGTGTTGACTGACTGTGTCCACTCCAGCTGGCACAAAGCAAGACACCGAGAGCCATTTTTTTCTTTCAGATGCAGTCTTTTCCAACATTGCCTCCAAACAAGCTTTGGTGCAGATATCTGGGAGCAGCGGGAGGAATGTGAAGAAAGAACAAATTCCCCAGCCAATCGCAGACCTTTTCATTACAAACCCTAGGCTCTAGGGTACATGTTCATGGATGTTTGCATGTGTTGTGGAGAGAATGAGGACATGGCTATCCTCTCTCTACCCCTTGGGCTCCAGGTTCGATTATCCAGGCACAGACAGGGGTCATCTTATACCTCAAATTCGTAGGAGGATTCTAACACTGAGCCACACCCCAGCCCCTCACTGGGGGATTCTAGGCCTGGCTCTACCACTCAACTACATGCTGAGCCCTCTTTTTTACTTTTTATCTTTTTACTTCATTTTGAGACAGTCTCGCTAAGCTACCCAAACCAGTCTTGAACTCCCTCTATAGCCCAGGCTAGCTTTGAACTTGTGATCCTCCTATCTCAGTCGCCCAAGTTCTAGGATTACAGGCCTGTGCCAAGCTCAGCTCCATCCCCCAAGTTGTCTGAGAGAGGAAGAATGGCTGAGTGTATATCTGTTTACGTGTATGTGTGTGTGTGTGTGTGTGTGTGTATCTATATATATCTATATATGTATGTATATAATAGGCTATATTAGAAAATTCTCTATTTATAAATATAAAACACTGGTATCCAAACATGACACAGCTAACTAAAGTGCTTGAAAGGAGCTGGGCACATACACTCTGTAGGTAAACCTCCCACATCTGAGTGCCAGGATGGGGGCAGCCTGGGAAGGAGAATGGAGATGGAGGAAGGAAAACAAAAGTACTGGACACCAGAAGCTTCCCAGTCCCAGGGCTGTCTGCTGGCTGTCAACACCAGGCTTCCTCTTTACCCTACATTCCCGGCTTTGCTTCTGTCTGGGAGGAGTGAGGCAGCTTTGGAAGGTTGGGTGTGGAGCAGCTGCTCCCTCAGGGGAAGGCTGCTAACTTCTCTTGCCACAGGCCAGGAGGGATAGGATAGAGGGCTATCTTCATACTTAATAATTTGACAGAAATACACGCTGTGGAGCCTCCTGGTAAGGGTGTCTTTGTTCCTTCTGGGCTTCTTTCTGGGTAGGTGACAGTAAGCAAGGAGGAAGCCTCTGAGAGGCAGACCAGGAGGCCACAGTCTGATTCATCCACAGCCTCAGGCTACTGGTCAGGACCTCCCCTCTTCCCGGTTCCCTAACCCTGCAAACCAGGCCCAAACCCAGCCTCAGACCCACAGACATGCCCCACAGGCCGATGGTCACCAGAGCTCTAAGGAGACGGAAGAGCCTCCCCCTCCAAGTAGGGGAGAGCCCTTTCTTCCCCCAAGGACACAGTGCTACAAGAATGGGTTTGTGGTTGGAGGTTTGGAGGCAAATGCTGAGGCTCCAGTCTGGAAAGAAAGAGCAAAAGGTTAATAGGTTAGACTGCTGGAAGCCACAGAACATAACTGTGCTCAAGGATCAACAGAGCAAGGGAGATGGATGGGAGGTGGAGCGAGTGGGGTCCAGAGTGGCCCTGTGTGGTGATGCACACCCGAGATCCCAGCATTCAGAAGGCTGAGGCGGCAGGGCCATGAGGTCTAGGCCAGCCTGAGCTACAAAGTGTGACCCAGTCTCAAAAAAGGGGCAGGAGGGAGGCTGGAGAGATGGCTCAGTGGTTCAGAGCACTGGCTGTTGTCTCAGAGGACCCGGGTTCAATTCCCAGCATCCACGTGGCAGCTCACAACTGTCTCCAGGGACCTAACACCCGTACACAGGCAGAACACCAATGCACAACAAATAAATTCTTAAGAGACGATTCTCAGGGTAAAAGTGCTTGCTATGCAAGCAGGAGCACCAATCGACACCCAGGAAAGAGGCTGCTGGCTCACTCATACACCTGCAACCCCAGGGTTGTGGGGACAGTGAAAGGAAGTTTGGCCACCAGTCTAGCTGGGTGATACAGAAGGACCGCCAAAAGACACCTCCTTTGGTATCGGTGGGTGCATGGTCACGTGCGCGCACGCGCGCATACACACACACACACACACACACACACACACACACACATGCACAAGCAGATGGGATCTTAGTTATATCCCACATTACCATCTGCTGGAAAGATGCGTCTCCAGTGTCACAGTGCAGTACTCACCATGAAGGGATTGGTAGAGATCCCAGGCGCCTGGCTCAGAGGCCTCTGCCCCAGCTTGGAGGTTCCCAAATCACAAAAAGAAGAGCCTAAGAGGCAAGAACAATACTTTGGCTGAGTGTATCTGTCACCTTCCTGGAGGGGAGCCATTTGCGACATCCGCAGAGAACACCCAGGAGAGACCCTTCCGGAATTCTCGAAAGGAAAGTATGGAGTCGCCAGGTCTATAGCTCATCTGGTCCCCCACTAGTCAGAAAGAGTTTCTGTGTCTGCAAAATTCAGGCACCCCTCCCCCCATAGGTTTGTTTTCCTGAGATTCAAGCAACTATGGGCTGAAAAAATATCTTTAAAAATGTTTTGGCCAGGCAGTTGTGGTGTACAACTTTAATCTCAACACTCAGGAGGCAGGGCCAGGTAATCTTTTAGTTCAAGGCCAGCCTGGTCTACAGAGTGAGTTCCAGGACAGTTAGGGCTACATAGAGACCTCATCTCAAAAACAACACCCCCCAAAAATACATATTTAAAAATATTTAAAGTTGTATTTATGTGTGTGTGTGCACGCATGTATGGGTGTGCATGGATGTGCACAGTGGTTAAGAGCATATGTTACTCTTGCAGAGGACCCAAGTTGGGTTCCCAGTATCCACATGGGATAACTCACAAATAATAACTTCAGTTCCAAAGATTCTGATACCTTTTTCTGGTCTCTGTGTTCAGAGACACACAAACATATAAGTAATTAAATTTAAAAATTAAGACCCTGAGCCAGGCAGTGGTGGCACACACCTTTAGTCCCAGCATTCGAGAGGAAGGGGCAGGTGGATCTCTGATTTCGGGGCCAACCTGGTCTAGAGAGTGAGTTCCAGGACAGCTAGAACTACAGAGAAAATCCCTGTCTCGGACCAACCCCCACAAAACAAACAAACAAACAAACAAACAAACAAAAAAAAAACAAGGACACAGGTCACTCTTCTAGAGGACCAGGGTTCAAATCCCATTAGGAATAATGGTAGCTCAAACCATTTGCAGCTCAGTACATGGGGTCTGATACCCTCTGCTGGCCTCTTTGGGCACTGCATGCACAAGTACCATCATGCAGGCAAAACACCCATACACACAAAATTAAAATTCCTCCTAAAAGGATATATATATGTATATGTATTTGTATATATATACATATATTTGTATGTATGTATATACACACACACACACATATACACAGAGAGGAAGGTGTGTGTTTGTGTGTGTGTAAATTCCTCCCTTCTTTATTGTACTGGGAATGAAACCCAGTGCCTCACTTACGCCAGGCAAGGGCTGTCTACCAGTGAGCTACATCTCTGGCCTCCTCAGTTTTGAGATGGAGTCTAAGTATCCAGTCAGGTCTTGAACTTACTGTAGCCTCTTGGGTGGCTGGGATTATAGTGTGCACACCAAGTGTGCAGGGACTCTGTGTAAATGACATGCCATTTACATAAAGAGCATGTGTGGGGTCCTGTGTGCCACACTGTACTAACATACAGTGGGAAGCATGGAGGAGATGGGGCTCACACCCAGCCCTCTTACCATTCTGCTGCTCGGTCAGTGCAGTCTGTGTGGGGAACATCGCTGCAGGAAAGGGGCTGGCAAATGCCCCTGTGGGTGGCACTGGCTGGAGGAGGCCAGGCCCAACACTGCTCATCCCGAAGCCAGGCCCTGTGGAGTCAGAGATGGGAGGAGGCTCAGGTGAACTTCAGGCAGGAGAGAGGACAACAGGTTTTCCCCCCAATCGGGAAATGGGGTCACTTTTTCCACAGTGGAAGGACCTTGAATGAATACAGAGATTCATTCAGTGTCCCCAATTCCCCCCAGAAGCTACCAACCCTGTGATCTCCCTGCACCCGGGGCTCTTGGCTAGGCGGGCACAGTTCTTGTGAACCGCACCAAACTGGGCCCTTTAAAAATAACAGAGACAAGGTGAATCGTGACTGTTCTCATTCCCTGTCTTCCCCCACTCTCCCAAGCTGTCCTTGAACTCTGTATGTAAAGATGACCTTGAACTCCAATCCTCACCTCTGCATCCCTAGTGCTGGGATGACAGACCTGTGCCACCCTGCTCAGCTCCACCTTGATCCCTAGAGTGGACATGGTACCCATCTCACAGGGCCACTGAGAGAGCTAAGGGATTCGAAGCACCCAGCACGCATGTAGCTCAGCTTTCTCTAGGTGGTCTCCTTCTCTTCCTGGCCCCGGGACTTCATCCAGCTAAGGGAATTTGAGGAGTCTGAGGGTACACTACAGAGGCTGTGGGGGGTAAGTGGAAGGCGCTGCAAGGCCTTGCTGAGAAGGACAGGGATAAGGATCTGTGTTTCACTGTGATTCTCTGGTACCTTAGGCTTGGGGCACTGATGGGGGTAAAGGGTGGATGCCCCAAGGGATCTGGATAGGGGATGCAAACAGCATCATGACACCGTCGGCCAATGGGAACACACGCTTCAGAAACGACTAGGAAAAAGGCATGTTGTTCTCCCTCTTCCCTCCCTCTTCTCCACCCACCCCTTCCTTCTTCTTTCTCTTCCTTTTATTTTTGAGAAAGGGTCACTTTATATAGACCAGGGGTGGCCTGGACCATTCTGTATACCCCAGTCTGTCCTTGAACTTGTGATCCTCTTAGGCAGTACTGGTACTGGGCGTGGGGGCACCATCATGCCTGACCTGTGTGATTTTTCTGTGAGATTCTGTTTGTTATGGCATGGACGCTTCTACTTTCAGCCCACTGGGTGGCTTGGCTCTGTAGATGGACGTGGCCTGGGCTGGTGGACACAGGTGGGGAGTTGTGGGTGGCTGACTACTCTTTGGTAGCGAGAGGCACAGGGTCGGGGGACTCTGCACTCTAAAAAGGAGGAAGGCAGCTCTGGACTTACCCGAGGCCAGGCCATTGGGCTGGAACGGGTTGGTAGAAGGCAGCTGGGGTTGGGCAGGGGTGGTGAAGGGGTTGGTGAAGGCTGCACACAGTAGAGAGAGAGAGAGAGGGGTTGGAAAAAAGATGTTTTGAGTCCCCTCAATTCTGGGGCTGCGTCTCCCACCCAGGTCTCCAGGGGTAGACTCACCTCCAAAGGTTAGTCCTGCATTGCCGTGGACACCTGGCACAGCCGACTGTAATGCAGGAACCTGGCTGGGCATCCCGAAGACACTGTGGCACAGGGAGAGAGGTGGGAATGGGCATCCTCCAGGAAGAACAGAGCAAGGGGACAAGCCCACTGTGGAACCCCGGCCAGGCCAGGGAGCCGGGGGGAGGGGGAGTAACAAGTGCGCCATCAGGCGCTATCCGTCTGGGACAATGCCACCGACCTTCAGGTGAGTCACCTTCACGTCTGGACCCACCTGCCAGGGAGACCTCCAGCTGCCACCCTGGGTCCCAGGAGGCCACCCACATCTGCCAGGCTGTTGGGCTGAGTGGCAGCCGCAAGAGGAGCAACCCCGAATGCAGACATCTGGCTGCTCCCTGGACGACGAGATAAAACAAAGAAGCTGGATGAGACTGGATGCAAGGGGCAGGAGAGGGCATGGAGGTGGGGTGTGGAGGGTGAGGCGTGGAATGATGACAGGTAAGGCACCTCCTGGACTCTCTGAGCCAGCCCAGCTTTCCCATGACCACCTAGCGTGCCGGAGCGCATCTGCTGAACTCCTGGGTAAGGCAACCGCCCAGCCTTTCTAGCTCCCCGGTGCTGTAAACCACCACCCTTATCTTGGTTGTCTTCCTTCATGCCATACAGCTGGATCTGTCCTAGACAGGTGCCTGTCTGCCTGTCTCTTTAGCAAAATGGCATGCCGCTCTCTCTCTCTCTCTCTGAGACAGTTTCTCTGTAGCTTTGAAACCTGTCCTGGAACTCCCTCTGTCGACCAGGCTGGCCTCAAATTCACAGAGATGCACCTGCTCTGCCTCCTGATTGCTGCTGAGTGCTGGGATTAAAGGTGAATGCCACTACCAGCTGGCTCCTTCCTCTCTCTCTTTTTTTTCTTTTTCTTTCTTTTCTTTTCTTTTTATTTTTTTGAGACAGGATCTCAATATATAGCCCAGGGTGTCCTTGAACTCTCCTCTATCCCCTTGTCTCAGCCTCCTAAGTGCTGGGCTTACAAGTATGCCTGGAATATATAGGGCTAGGGACTTGGTCTAGGACTTTGTGTGTATAAGATAAACACTATCAACTGAGTGATAGTCCTAGCTCCTAATTATTTAAAAAAATTTAATTAGTTAGCTGGGCAATGGTGATACACACCTTTAATCTCAGCATTCAGAAGGCAGAGGCAGGCCCATGTCTGAATTTGAGGTTAGCCTGGTCTACAGTTTCAGGAATCTCGGATCTGTGTACTTAGGTAAGTGCCCTACTATGGAGCTATGTCCCAAGCCTTTCATGTTTTCAGACGGGGTCTCACTGCGTAGCCCAGGTAAACCTCCAACTTGTAGCAATCCTACTCAGCTTCCTGAGTGTTGGGAGGCCACCACACTCAGTACCCCCTCCCCCACCCCCAGTGGTGCCGGGTAGGGAACCAGGCATTGTGGACAATAGGTAAGTACTCTGCCACCAAGTCACATTCCAGTTCCGTTCTGGTTTCTTTCAGATACCCCAACACTGTAATTTGAATTTCTATGCTCTGCTTCCTCAAAAGTCTGTATTTCTCTCTCTCTCTCTCTCTCTCTCACTCTCTCTCTCTCTCTCTCTCTCTCACTTTCTCTCTTTGAACACTTATTTGTGTGTGGGTGTGAGTGTTTTTTCCACAGGTTCTGGAGATCGAACTTGGGTCACCAGGCTTGCACAGCAAGCGCCTTTAACTCACTGAGTCATCTCGATAGCCCCCATCCAGGCTTCTAACCACAGGATATGAGGCAGGTAGATCTGGGTCGTGCTTTTCCCCTGCCTGCCTGACTCAGAGCACACGGGGTTTCTGAGCGAGAGAAGGAACGCAGCTACCTCCAGGAATGAGTCAACTCTTCGGTGCTGCCTGGGTCTCCATGTTCCAGCCGCTTCCCCAGAGAGTGAGCTTTTTCCACCCTCGCTGACTCACAGTCTGGGAAGTGCTTCCCTCTGAACACTAGAGGGCAGAGCTGGGCTTAAAACTCAGGTCACCCATGGAGCCATCTCCAGCTCCAAAGCAGCCGCAGTTTAATATTCTTTTTTTTTTTTTTTTTTTTTTTTTGCATAGCGGGGTGCAGATGGAGAACAGAGGACTCACACTAGCTGGTCCTCTTGTCCCATCATGTGGGCTCTAGGGATCAAACTCAGGTCACTGGGCTTGGCGGCAAATGCTTTTTTACCCACTGGGCCATCTCGTTGGCCTCAAGTCACTACATGTTTAGCAACCTCCCTTTTGTACACTCTTCTGGCCTACACAAATAAAACCCAGCCTAACAGGGCAGTGGTGGCGCACGCCTTTAATCCCAGCACTTGGGTGGCAGAGGCAGGCAGATCTCTGTGAGTTCGAGGCCAGCCTGATCTACAGAGCGAGTTCCAGAACAGCCAGGGTTGTTACACGGAGAAACCCTGCCTCGCAAAACTAAAAACAAATAATACAACCCAGCAACCTGTCAAAAGAGCTACCCACCTCTCAAAATTTCTCAGCAAGTCCAACAGATCTCTTTGTTCCTTGTGTTGCTGAGAATGGACTCCAGGGCCTCACATTTGCTAGGCAGGTGCTTTACCTCTGAGCTACCTCCTGTCTGAACAGCTCTACTTCATCTTAGCCAAGTGCACAGTGAGGACCTTCCTTCCCATAGTGGCAGGATATGGGTTAGGGTATAGACTATCTGCGGTTAGAGACATCCAGGCCTGATGCCTTGGGAGGGCTGCGAGTCTCGGGACTTTCTTCTTGCTATCTTTCTTCTTCCAGATAGAGACCAGCTCTATCTGGGATGCAATCAGTTGTGTTATAGGCAGGCATCTCCCCAGCCCTTGCCCTCTCTGTGTCTTTTCAGACAGGGTCTCACGTATTTCAGGCTGGCCTCGAACCCCCTATGTAGGTGATGAACTCAAACTGCTGAGTGCCAGGATGATAGGCCTGGCCTGCCATGCCTGACTTATGTGATGATAAGGACCAAACCTAGAGTTGTGGACAAGCTAGGCAAGCACCATACCAACCTAACTATAAATAAAAACAAAATAAAAATTAAAACATTAAAAACCTCCCTTAAATTTCTGAATCTTCTTCGAATCCCCCATGACAGCACCCCTTACCAGCAGGAAGTAGTTTGGAAAGAACAACGCCCAAATTCCCAAATACTGTGTATAAATGTTTGTTTTCATTTAAATGGACTTTGTTATATAAAATAAATTTAAAAAAATTAAAAAAAAAAAAAACAAACCAAAAAACCTCCCTTAATTCAAGGCCAATATAGACAACTTAGATTTTGGTTAGAACTAAAAATGATGAGGGATATAATTCAGTAGTAAAGTGCTTTACTACATTCCTCAGTGAGTACCTTGGGGCATGACTCAGTGGTAGAGCACCTGCCTAGAATCCCCCAGTGAGGGGCTGGGGATGTGGCTCAGTGGTAGAGCACCTGCCTAGAATCCCCCAGTGAGGGGCTGGGGATGTGGCTCAGTGGTAGAGCACCTGCCTAGACTCACCCAGTGAGGGGCTGGGGGTGTAGCTCAGTGGTAGAATACAGTAGGAGTAGCTCAGAATGATTGCTTGAAACTGATGTTCAATTCCCAGTACCACAAAATCAATCAATCAACCAACCAACCAATCAATCAATCAATCAATCAAAACCAAAGCAAAGCAGCCCTACAGTTCTGAGTGGCACATTGTGTATGTTAAGGGCAGAGTCAGGAAATCTTAGTTCTGCCATTCTGTGTTGCACAATTACATCATCCGTTTTATAATGCTATATTTTTTTCATTCTGGTGATAGAATCTAATTACACACTTTACCATACATTGGCTACCTTTTTAAATTTATTTTTGAGACAGGGTTTCACTAAGTAGCCCTTGTTGGCCAGGTACCAACTCTGTAGACCAGGTTGGCCTTGAACTCACAAAGATCTGCCTGCCTCTGCTTCCTGAGTCCTGGGATTAAAGGTGTGTACCATCACTGCCGGCTACACTTCTAAAGACTTCAGAGGACCTTAAGTAGGCTGAGGGCTGCAGAGAAGGACTCACCAAAGCTGTAACTTCCAGTAAGCATCCGATTGGCTGCCAATGAGGGTGGAGAACGGAAAGGGAGGGCAAAGGAGGAAAGGAGAGAGTGAGTCATTGGCTTGTCCCTAGGCATCTGGTTTCTACAGCCCCTCAGCTGCCAAATCCTGGTGTCCAGAGCAGCCAAAGGAAGAAAGACAGCCTTAGGGCTATGGAGACCCGTGTCTGGGGGCTTGGGAAAGAACTGGAGGCTTGAAAGGGATCCAGGGTCTCCTGTGATTCCTAAAAACACAACCCTTGGTTTTGAAGATCTTTGATCTTGGAAAGGTTGGGTGCGGATGTCTGGGGATTATCTTGAACTTGACCTAGCCACTTGACCCTTTGGGGCAGGATATTGCAGACAATGAGAACAGGATGCACACATTTTTTTTTATAGGACTCGGGTCTCCAGAATTTCCAGTCAGAAATTTTCTGCCTGGGTCGGAGGAGCAGCGAGATGGCTTAGCAGGTAAGGACACTTGTTATTCAAATCTGAAGTCCTGAGTTCGGTCCCCAGGAGCACTCATGTAAGTTGTCATATGACCTCTACATGAGTGCCATGGCAATCAGGGGCCTGCCTGAGTGTGCATGCACACATGCAAATATGTAAAATGAAATATTTTTTAAAAAATAAGAAAGAAAATTTTTGTTCCAGGACAGGCTCCAAAGTAATACAGAAAAGCCCTGTCTCGGGGCCAAAAAAAAAAAAGGAAAAGAACAGAAAGAAAGAAAATCGTCTTGGGGTAGAATCTGTGCTGACTATGTAGCAATTCTCCTCATGTGAAAAAATAGAACCACAGTGCCCTCTGTCCATGAGTGGCAGCCCCCACACTTAACACCCTTCTGGCGGAAGCAGTTTTTTATGTCTCCTTTATAGTCAACGGGATGTGAAGGAAGGAAGGGAGGGTGATGCATGGAAATGGACAGCTGATGCTGACAGAGAAGCAAGAAAAGATGAGGCAGCTTACCTCCAGGGGCTGGCTGGGCCTGGAATGGGGCTTGGACCGATGGAGGGAGGCTTCCAAAGGCGGAAGTGCCAGGGCTACTGCTGAAGGCATCGAAGTTGGCAAAGCCTCCATGGGAAGGAGTCTGGCCTGTAGGTGGAGGGAATACAACACAGCCAGATGTGTTGGTGTCTTAGGGTCTCCACTGCTGTGAAGAGACATCATGACCACGCACAGCAACTCTTACAAAGAAAGACATTTAATTGAGGCGGTGGCTTAGAGTTAGGAGGCTCAGTCCATTATCATCATGGCAGGGAACACGGTGGTGTGCAGGCAGACATAGGGCTGGCTCCATCTTAATCAGAAGGCAACAGGGAGTGGACTCACTGGAAATAGCCTGAGCACAGGAGACCTCAAAGCCGGCCCTCACGATGACGCACTTCCCCCAACAAGACCACACTCTCTCCAACAAAGCCATGCCTCCCTTTGGGGACCATTTCTTTTCAAACCACCATAGCTGGCTAGTTTGCTAACATCATTTAGTAAGAGGAACCTCAAATTGAGAAAGAGCTTCCCCCAGACACCGTGGTGCACACGCTTAATCCCAGCATTTGGGAGGCAGAGGCAGGGGAGTCTCTGCATGTTCAAAGACAGCCTGGTCTATATAGTAAGTTCTAGGATGGCCAAGGCTATATAGAGACCTCCATCTCCACCCCATCAGCAGAACAAGAGGGGGGGGGGATGTACCTCCATCAGTCTGACCTGTGGGCAAGTCTATGGGGCATTTTCTTGACTAATATGGGAGGGCCCAGCCCGAAGAAAGCAGTACCACCTTGGGCAGAAAGCAGCCTGGGGGCTGGAGAGATGGCTCAATGGTTAAGAGCACTTGTTCTTGCAGGGGACTGGGGTTTGATGGCCAGCACTCACATGGTGACCCACAGCCATCTGTAACTCCAATTCCAAAGCCCTCTTCTGACTTCTGTGGGCACCAGGCATGTATGAGATGCACATACATACATATATGCAAAACATTTACACACAGAGTCAATAGATATTTTTAAAAAGTACATAAAGGTGGCTGGGAAGCAGAGAAACAACAGCCAAGGTAGTTCTCTGGCCTCTGAGTACACACACATGAACATGTACATGCACACACAAAAAGATGGGAATCAGCTTTTGATTCTCCAGCTTCAGGCATGCACCACTACACCCAGCTCCCTTCTTCCCAGCTTAGCAGAGATAAAGCAACCAAATGGGCTCTTTGACTGCTAAAGGAGGTGCTGGGAGCCCCCACTGATATGCTTTATGGCTAAACCCCAAAATACAGGCCATGCTGTCCCTTGGCCCCCATCCTGCCAGCCACATAGATGAGTCAGGCTCCAATGGACTTAATGTCTTTGCAGTATATATGGTGCAGACATATACAGGTGGCCCTTACCTCCAAAGGCTGGGAATGCGGCAAAGGCTGGTGCCATCTGGGGAGCGGCAAAGGGGTCCCCGCCGATATCGGCCAGCAGGTCAGTGCTGGCTTTCTTGGTGGATGGCTGGGAGCTCCTGGCCTGGGCTGTACGGGCCTGAGACTGGTTGACAGACTTGGAAAAGAATTGTGTGTGACAGTCAGAATCCCAGCCATGACCTGGGCCCCACCAGAGCCTCCCATGCTGCCCCCAGTTAAGCAGAGAGAAGGCAAACTAAGTTGGTCCCCTCAGCTGAGAGGCTTCTCATGAAGAAGTCACCTAAGTGTCTCTCTCTTTTTTTTTTTTTCTTCTTTTTGCTTTTGTTTTTTGAGATAGGGCTTCTCTGTGTAGCCCTGGCTGTCTAGGCACTCACGCTGTAGACCAGGCTGTCCTCAAACTCACAGAGATCCACCTGCCTTTGCCTCCCGAGTGCTGGGATTAAAGGTGTGAACTACCACCACCCTGGCTCTCTTCCTTTTAGTTTTACATGTATGGGTGTTTTGTCTGCATTTATACATGTATACCATGTGTGTACCTGGTGCCCCCAGAACTCTAAGCACCTCATGTAACTCAGCCAATCCTCTCTCAGAACATTGGCCCCAAGAATCAGGTATCTGAGAGCACGCAGAGGCAGCCCTAGGATGCTTGGCATTGTGCTGCTCCGTGGCTAGGAGTTCTCACTTCTGCATCTTTGCTGGATACAGGAAGCACTGTCCCAGATCCTCGGAAGGGAGGGTCAGGGCTGAGGTCATTAGGCACCACTTCCTGCTGGGGTCCCAGATACCAGATGCAAGCTAGAGGAAGCAGCAGGGCTGAGAATCAACTTCCAGCTCCTGGACTGCGGGTCTGCCAAATCCAGGAGAACTGATGTAGGAAAGTGACGTCCCTGTCCCCCACAATCTAAACCAAACCTCAGTGGGAATGGGAGGATCAGGTTGGAGCGTCACCTGGCTCGAAGAGGAGGCAGCATCAGAGAGAGATGGCACAGGGTCTCCCAGAAGTGTCCGCACGGGCTTCCCGTCCGGGGCAGAGCCCTGGACAGGGGTGGAGGCACTGCCTTTGCTGTAAGATGGTCCTTTGACTTGCTCCGGGGGTACGTACCTGTGAGAAAGAACAGTTATGCTGTGAAAGAGAGAAAACCTAGGACTGTGCTTAGCTCAGGTGGCTGAGAAAACACAAGTGACAGGTTCTTTTTTTGTGCATAAAAAGAATTTAGTGATCTAACAATGTTCTCTTGAGTGTGCCTTTCCTCTTTTGCAATCTGGGCTTTGTGCATGCAAGGTAAGTGCTCTACCACTGAGCCACACCCCAGTCCCTCCCTCACTGGGGGATTCTAGGCAGGTGCTCTACCACTGAGCCACACCCCCAGACCACTTGGACAGGATCTACCATACCCAGCTGCCCATGGGGTATCTTAATGCACCTTTCTTTATGTTAGAGTTTATTATTATTATTATTATTATTATTATTATTATTATTATTATTATTGTGTGTGTGTGCGCGCGCACGTGTGTGCCACATGTGCAAGCACAGGTGTACAAGCATGTGTGTCACTGAAGATCAGAGGACAAGCTGTCTCATTCCACCGTGTGAGTCCCTGTGACTGAACTCAGGCAGGTGGGTCATCAGGTGCCTTTACCTGCTAAGCTTTCTTGCCATTACTGTTTTGACGTCTTGAGACTGTGTTACTAAATACCCATAAATGACTTAAGTGATCCTCCTGCCTCAATCCCAGACTGCTGGGATTCCAGGTGTATACTACTGTGCCCAGATTTTGATAAATATTTCCTTCAGGTTTCTCTGGGTTGTGGTTATTTTCTACTCTTTTAAAGATTTTTTTTTTTCAAGACAGGGTTTTAATATGCAACCTTGACTGTCCTAGAACTCGCTCTATAGACCAGGCTAGCTTCAAACTCATAGAGCTCTGTCTACCTCTGCCTCCCAAGTGCTTGAATTAAAGGCCTGTATCACCACACCCAGATTCTTTTAAGAACTTTTAAATTATCATACATTAATTGTACAACATAACAAATTTTACCAGGTGGTGGTGGTGCACGCTTTTAATCCCAGTACTACGGAGGCAGAGGCAAGAAGACCTCTGCATTTAGGGCCAGCCAGGTCTACAGTGAATTAGTTCCAGGCTGGCCGAGGCTACATAGATGAACCCTGCCTCGAAAAATAAAACCATCCAAAAAACAAACAAAAAATGATTTCTTTCCTTCCTCTTTTGAGATCTCAAGCCATCTTGATTTTAAGAAGTCACACACGGGGATAGAGAGGTGGCTCAGTGGTTTAAGAGCACTGGCTACTCTTCCAGAGGACCTGAGTTCAATTCCAAAACCCACATGGCAGCTCACAGCTGTCTGTATCTCCAGTTCCAGGACTTCTGACACCTTCACACAGATATACATATAGCCAAAATGTCAATGCACATAAAAAACAAAACAAAACACAAAGATCTGGATGGAGCAGTTTTCTTATTTTCTAATTTCCTTTTTCTTTTCTTTAGAGCTTTATTAATTTATCTGATTTATATGAGTGCTCTATCTGCATACACACCAGAAGAGGGCACCAGATCTCATTACAGATGGTTGTGAGCCACCATGTGGGTGCTAGAAATTGAACTCAGATCTTCTGGAAGAGCAGCCAGTGCTCTTAACTGCTAAGCCATCCCTCCAGCCCCTCCAACTTCCATCTAGAGGCCCCTTTAACTTTCTGGGTTTCTCCCTGACTCTGTCTCTTAGTCTCTTAGTGCTAGGGATTGAAGACAGGGCCTTTCACAGGTTACACAGTAACCCTTTCTGCACTTTGAGACAGGGTCTCACTAAGTTGCCCAGGCTGGCCCTGAACTCCCCCTCCTCCTCCTCCCTCAGTCTCTGGAGTAGCTAGGATCATTGGCTGCATTACCAGATTTCCTTATTTCTCCCTCTCAGTTCTCCCTCCACAGAGAACAAGTCTATACCTTGTCCAACATGGAGCTCAGCCTGTCCTAACCTCTAGCTCCTGCTGGAGGAGAATCCCTCCCCACTCCCTGTATACAATCCTTATTCTGGAAGCATCTTAAAAGCTAGGACACTCCAGGGAAATGGTCTCAGGCTCAGTGGGTAAAGTGTTTGTTGTAGAACCATGAGGACTTGAGTTCAGACCCTCAGCATCCACATAAGGTCAGACATGGTGGCAAGTATATCTGTAACCCCAGCTCCACACCAGCAATTAGTCTAGCTAAACTGGCAAGTGCCAAGTTCATTGAAAGACCCTGCCTCAAAAACTGAAATGGAGAGCTGGTGATTTGGCTGGGTGGGTTAAGGTGCTTGCTGCCAAGCCTGACGATCTGAGTTCAATCCCTGAGACCCACCTGGAAGGAGAACCTGCTCCACAAATCTGTCCTCTGACCTCCACACAAGTGCCCTGGTACACACATGATGCACATGTGTATATACAGTATTCACTGAGCTGTAGAAACTAGGTGACATGGACAGACATGCCTCCTTGATACAATCATTCCCCCGACAGAGAGGACATCGAATCTGCAGGGTTAGGGCTAGGGATTTGGATCAGTGGGAGAACACCAGCCAAACATGCATGAAGTCCAGGTGTGGTGGTGAACACATGTAGTCTCAACCCTCAGAAGGCAACAGCAGGAGACTCTGAAGTTCAAGGTCATCCTTAGATATGCAGGGAAATCAGGGTTAGCCTGGACTACATATCTCAAACAGACAGAACTGCAGGGTTAGTGATGTACATAACAAATTCTTCTTTCATGTCAATTAGTTATTTCATTATTTTGAGATGGGGTCTCATGTAGCCCAGGCTTGCCCAAAGCTCACAAAGTAGCCAAGGATGACCTTGAATTTCTTTCTTTTTTCCTTTTGAGACAGGGTTTGTGTGTGTGTGTGTGTGTGTGTGTGTGTGTGTGTGTGTGTGTGTGTGTGTGTAGCTCTAGCTGTCCTGGAACTCGCTCTGTAGACCAGGCTGGCCTTGAACTCACAGAGATTCACCTGCCTCTGCCTCCTGAGTACTGAGACTAAAAGTGTGTGCTACCACTGCCTAGCTATGAACTTGAATTTCTGATCCTCCTGCCTCAGTCTTCCGAGAACTGGGATGACAGGCATGGGCTAATATGCCCAGTTTCAATTTGTGACTTTGAGGTCAGAATTTAACAGGAATTGAGTCTGGGAGTTGGGGTGAGGAAAAGACAGAGTCAAAGCCTGCTCTTAGGGAAATGCCAGCAACGCTCTGCATATGGGACTGCCTTGGACACATGCCTCCTTTTTCCCCCTTACCATCTTTTCTTCTCATATTTTTCTTGGAGAAACTCCTTCACTTTCTGAGGGTCCCTGGAATCCGGTACCAACGATGTCCGAGCGTCAAAAAGGCCCAGCCAGATCTTGCGGCAGACCTGAAGGGATGGGGCCAGAGCAGTGGATGAAATAGGAATGGCACCATCAGCAGACCTCTGACTAATGACTTCGGATCAATGTCTTCAAAGGCAAAATATCTACTGAGCTTGGCTACAGTGGGGGGTCTGGCTGCAACTACAACTCAGACAGAATCCTTGCCCACCAGTTTATAAGCCAATAATAGGTCAGGCCTTACGTAAATAAACAACATACATAAAGTAAGTGATAGCACATACTAAAAATAGGAAATTCATCCCAAAAGAAACTATTGGGGGCTGGTAAGACAAACTGATGACCTGAGCTGGATCCCTGGGACCCAGATGGTGAAAGCAGAGAACCTTGTCCTCCCCCTATAGACAGACACACTCTAAATAGATAAAAGCAAAAATAAAATAATAAATGCGCTGGGTGTTGGTGGCGTACGCCTTTAATCCTAGCACTCAGGAGGCAGAGGCAGGTGGATCTCTGTGAGTTCGAGGCCAGCCTGGTCTACAGAGCGAGTTCCAGGACAGGCTCCAAAACATTACAGAGAAACCCTGTCTCCAAACCCCGCCCCCCCAAAGAAAATAAATAATGAACAATTAAACTAAATTAAAGTAAATGCACAGGAAACTACTGGGTTTTCCAACCATCTTGAGACAAAGTATTGCTAGCAAGTGGCATAGCTACAGCCTGCTGCCTCCTCCCTCAGTGGCGGCTGCTCACCTCATTCCCACGAGACTGGAGGAACAGGACTTCAGGCTCAGTGAAAGTTGTCATGGAGATAGACTTGACTCGATGTGGGGGGTTCAGACCTCTCCTGTAGGCCAGAGATAGAAAGGTAAGCCACAACAGTGTATGTATGTAGTGAGTGAAGAAGGAAAAATAAAGCAATAGCACGTAAGATAACCCTTGTTAGGACCCCATCCCAGGACTGGGCTGTGGCTCAGGGGTGGAGCACCTGCCTGGAATCCCCCAGTGAGGGGCTGGGGGTATGATTTATCAGTTGAAAATCAGTTGGCTTGGGATGGACAGATGGCTCAGAGGTTAAGAACACTGGCTGTTCTTCCAGAGGTCCTGAGTTCAATTCTCAGCAACCACATGGTGGCTCACAACCATCTATGAGACCTGGCGCCCTCTCCTGGACTTTAGGCATACATGCCAATAGAACACTGTATACATAATAAATAAATCTTAAAAAAAGAAAAGAAAATTGGTTGGTTTATCATACACAAGGCCCGGGGTTCTATCTTCAATACAGGGGGAGGGGGAACAGGGGACACTATACAACAACAAGAAAGTCCTGCCAAGGGCCAGCAAGATGGTTTAGTGGGTATCGGAGCTTGCTGCTGCAGAGCTTGATGACCTGAGGATCCAAGACTCACACAAAAATTCTCATCTGACCTCCATTTGCACTACGGCACTTGTGTCCATACACTAAGTAAATAAACGCAATTAAAACTTTAAAAATTCCTACCAAAAGCTAATTCCTAATATCGGGGCAGGGGTGGGGACATGTAAATGAGAACGTTCTGTAGACTTCCAATGAGAGACAGACACATTGTGACCCTGTCAGTGACTCTGGAGAAGGAGGCAGAACCTGTAATTTGGACACCTCTCGATTGGCTCAGATCCTGTCTGGCTCGGCCTGTAGGCTGAGGGGTGACTTCTGGGAGCTGAGACACTCGGCCACATCCCATTTCCTGCTGTTATTGTTGATCTATGGTGGGACATCCTGAGGTCCCGTGGACTCCCCCTAGCATGAGACGTGGTAGAAAGGAGGCCCTTGACTAATGCCGATGACAACCACAGGAGATAGGCTCGTGTGGAGCACAATGGGAATCTGGAAGCCAGCTGCCTCGCGCCCTTAACAGAAGGATGGAGCTGTGGGTGGGATGACCAGTCCTCCGCACCCCCACCCCCTTTTAGGAAGCCGAATCTGGACAAAGAAATACCCAAGGCTTTCTTTCTTCAAGATCTCTTAATAAAGCAGGAAGAAGTCAAGTTCAACCTTGAGATAGAATGGCATGGGCTCACAGCCGTGCTGGCTCTTAACTCCCTGGGGAGCCAGGTCTACCCACAGACTCCCTGTGGGATTCCAATAGGAAAGAAAGATTTCTTAGCCCTACTCACTTGGCCTTCTGGTGAGGAGGAGTTCTAATGGGAAATGGGGGTGGGGTGAGGTGGGGGGTGTTTGCGCTCAGCTAGGTGGGGGCTTCATGGGTTCCCCTTTCTTAAATGTATTTACTTACTTATTGATTGTGTGCACACTACACGGTGCATGGGTGGTGGTCAGAGGACAACTAGCAGGACTCTGCTCTCTCCTTCCACCACGTGGCTCCAATTCAGGCCATGAGGCTTGGTGACAAGTGTCTTTACCCACTGAGCTATCTCCCCAGCCCTCGGGTCCTCCTTGCTTTATACTTTAAAATCCAGCCAAGCCCAAACAAATAAATTAGGCCAAGAAATGAGAGACCACAGATGCACAAAGAGTGTCTCTGCTGCTGAGGCCTCTGTGGCGCTGAGACACTGGGTAGGCTCCGGTTCCGGTTCCGGGACTGTAAATGCTTCATGAAGGCCTGCATAAACTGAGTGTGGTGGCAGATACAAGCAATCACCACCACTCTGGGAGGTGGAGGAGGCCATCCTTGGCTATATAAGCCAGTTCAAGGCTAGCCAGGAATATGAGACCCTGTCTCAAAAAAAAAAAAAAAAAAAAAAAAAAAAAAAAAAAAGAAAGAAATGAATGGATGAAAACACGGGGCTCAGTAGTTTAGAGTACTGGCTGCACTTGCAGACGGCCTGAGTTGAATTCTCAGGAACCACACGATGGGTCACAACCATCTGTAACTCTGTAACTCCAGTTCCAGGGGGGTCTGGTGCCTCAGAAAGCACTGTGCCCAAATGGTAGACAGACATACATACAGGCAAAAAGCCCACACATGTAAAATAATCCAATCAAGATTTAACTGAGGACTATATACCTACATTCACACTTGGGGTATCCCTGCCAAGTTTGGAAGAATGCCAGCGAAGTGACGGCAGAGTGTGGAGAGGGGCAGATGTGACGGCAGAGTGTGGAGAGGGGCAGATGCCAAGCCACAGAGGGGACAGAGAAGGGCGGCTGCTCCTGGGTGATGAATTGCTCATTAAGGGAATTCTAGCAAAGGCTGGGACACAGGAGGCTGCAGACCAGGTCATTTCCAGTCATTCTGCTGCTAGACTTTTGAGTAAGGGCTCTCCAAATGCCCTTATAAATGACAAGCAGCATCCAAGAGGATGATGACTAAGGAAAGATGAGAGGGAACCAGACAGCAGAGCTTGGGTCCTGCAGCAAACAGCAGCTCTTAAACAGGATCTGCCCTGAAGTCTGTCGGGATTGGGTTTCCCAGGTAGTCTAGGTTCCTCTGAGCATGCTCAGTAATGACTCGATTTGGTTTGGTTTTTGAGTCAGCCTGCTTCTTCCCTTCATTATTTTTGAGACAGGGTCTATTTGAGACCAGTTTGGCCTCGACCTTCCTATGTGGTTAAGGATGACCTTGAGCTCCCAATCCCTCTGCCTCCACTTCCCAAGTGCTGGGATTACAAGTGGTGGAGACCACATCCCTTTCTATGTGTGCTGGGGGTTGAACCTGGGGCTTCATGCATGGTCCATGAACACCCTACCAACTGAGCTATGTATGTCCCAGCCACTCCAGCCAGCTTTTAATAAACCCTTTCTATTGTTTATCCTGCTTAGCCTCTAGAGTCTCCCTGTTCAGAGCGCCAGGTCCTTCCGCACTGCAGCCCGTGTCCACCTTGCTATCCATCCACTGTTTGATCCTCTCCTTTGTCCCTCCACTACTAAGCCCTTCTTGTTTGTCTTTTTAGGTGGGTTCTCACGTAGCCCAGGTTGACCTCCAACTCGATTTGTAGTTGAGGATGACCTTGAACTCCTGATCATCCTCCTTCCACCTCCTAGTGCTAGGCCTACAGGTTTGCACACACTACAGGTGTGTTTTATGTGTGCTGGCGACAGAACCCAAGCCGTCCTGCATGCCAGGCAAGTACTCCACAAACCGAGCCACACTCCCAGGCCCATTTTTCCTTTTGTTTCTTAGACAACATTTATTTCTTCATGGAGTCCAGGTTGGCGTAGAACCTTTCATCTCCCTGCCTCTACCACTCGATTCCTGAGATTACCAGCTTGCACCACAACACCAGGCCACTAACAGGCTCTTACTTTGCCAAAGTATAAGGCATTATAATGGGGACTTGGAGGGATACAAAAATTAAAGGTCTGAGACCGACCACCAAGTGTATCCAATGACCCAAGGAATTCATTATCACGGCATAGCATAGGCCTGTAATCTCAGCTACTTGGGAGGCCGAAGCAGGAGAGTTGCAAGTTCTAGGACAGCTTTGGCTACACAGTTCAAGGCCAACCTAGGCAACTGGGTGAGACCCTGCCTTGAAACAAGACTGGGAAAAGACATCGGGGAGGTAGTTCAACCTGTACAGTGCTTGCTGTGAGAGCCTGAGATTCGGAGTTTGATTCGAAGAAGCAGGCACTGCAGTATATGCTTGTAACTCCAGGGCTGGGGAGGTAGGGACAGGTGGATCTCCATGGCTTGTCAGTCAGCCAGCCAGGGCAAACTGCAAGCCGTAGGTCCCACTGAGGCTCCGTCAAAAGAGAAGGTGAACAGCACCCAAGGACAACTCTCAAGGTTGACCAGGGGCCTCCACACAAGTATGTACACTTGCAGGTATACTCACACATGCACAAATACACTCCTGTGCACATGTTCCCGTATGCATGTGCACATGCTCACTCAGACAGACTGACAGACAGACACACACACACAGTGATGTAGCTCAGTGGCCTAACATTTAAAAGCCCTGGGTTCCACTCCTCACTACCAAAAAAAAAAAAAACCCAACCAATCAAACAGAACCCAAGGATGGGGACTCAAGAAGCCTATGCAAGAGTACCTTTCACTGCAACAGATGCCAGCCAGCCAGACACTGATGGATTAGAGAGAACTGGATTCAGGATGCTGCCAGTGAGGAAGGAAGAGGGCGCTCAGGTCATGGGGATGGGGAAATGTATTATGTTCACATTACAAAAACAGATTTTAAGCCTATCATAAGAAGGTCACTGACATTTCCTGAAAGGACACCCAGGAACTGTTAGCAGTCGTAAACATAAAGGCCCTTCCTTGTTAGGGGGAAGGGGAGGAGGGGAAGGAGGAGGAGGTGGGCCTCAGGCAGGCATCAATCAAAAATGGACGACAAAGAACAGTAGACCTGCCCGGGCTTGGACAGGAGGAGTGTCTGAGGAGGGGAGGCCTATGGCAGGATGAAGAAAGGCTGAGAAGTGACTGAAAAACAGGAGCCCAAATGCATCTGAAGGAACAGGATGTTTCTGTAGTACAGTACCTGAGCACAGCTCTGACCTTGATTCCTGGGGACTGGATTATGAATAACCACAGTCAGTCTGGGGGGGGGGGCGGGGAGAACACTCCACAAGGAGGCTGCAGCTCGGGAAGAGGGCCTATGAGTCAGACTATGTCTCTCTGGATCATACAGAGGCCACTGCTGGCTGAGAACACAGATGTAGAAACAGGGCCCTCTCCTGCCAGCAGCTGAGTTGGCCTAGGTGTTTTGTGTTTAGTTGGGCCCAGGCCAGGGTCATGTGAGTGCCAGGGTCATGTGATGGGCCAGAGGTGACTCACTGGCCAGGAATGAAAGAGACCCAGCCCTCTGGCTCACACCCAGTGTCCCCAACAAAATTTAGGATCTCCCCAGCCCCTCAACCCCAAATTAGGAGGAGGTACTGCC